GGCGGCAGGCGCGGCTCCCAGCTCCTCGCGCAGCGAAGGGACGGTCCGCCTCGGGCCCGGCATGCACCGCGCCGCCGCCCCACGAGGGGACTGCGGGAGCGTGGCGAAACTCCTGCCTCCGCCGAGCCGGCGGCGCGGCCGTAAGGGAGCGTGGCGAAACTCCGCTCCCCGCGGGGCGGCGCGGAGAGGAAGGGGCGGGGGCTGCGGCCCGGCGTCGCGGGCTGCCCCGGCCCGGGGAGGAGGCGACGGCGGGGGAGCCGGAGCGCCCCGCCGCTTCCCCGCCCCCCGGGCTGGGCGGGCGTCGGGCCCCAGTCGAGGGGCGACGGAACCGCGCGGAGCCGCCGGCCACCATGGAGAGCTCCGCGGGGCCGCCCCCGCGCCGGAGGAGCCATTTTGTGAGGCGGCGGGCGGCGGCGGCCCTGCGGGCTGAGGCAGCTTCCGCCCCGCACCTGTGCCCGCAGCGCCCCGGGGCCGTAGCCGTGTGCGCGTAAGGCAGCTCACGCTCTGCCGCTATTCCATAATAAATCGCCGATTTAGAAAACAAACCAAGAATTCCCCCCCATCCCTCCCTAACAACAACAAAAACAGTATTTGTTGCTTTCCTCTTAATTTCAGCCTCTCTCCTCAGTTCTACCAGTACAGAGCTGTGCAGATTGCAAGAGCTCCCCGAGGCTAAAAACGAGAGAACGAGCAACCAACCCAACCAAGTGCCCTCTGAATGAAACACCCTCTGACTGTTCTATCTGCCAACGAACCCAGCCCCTTCTCTAGCAGGCATCTATGCACGTACATAAAACGATACCTACACAATCACACCATACATCTATACAGCTGCTGCTTTGCATTATGGCTAATAAGTGAGAAATGTTTAAGAGCTGTACTGAGCTGTGCTACTCCTCACAGTCAATCAGAAATCATGGAAACGCTGTTCCAAAGCCAAAGTTCACAGCAAAGCATTGCTCTTGCCCTACCCAGGTCAGAAGGAGAAGACCAAGAGCCAAGAGGGATTCAGTACCCAGTTTGAGCACGAAAAGCTGCTTGACCACCAAAAATGTATAAAAAATAATAGCTTACCCAAGAGCTTGGTTTGACATTTTTAAGTTTATTACATGACCAAAACAGTCCAGGTTAGAAATTTTGAATGAAATATCACTTTAAAAACATTCATCAGAAGCTACCACTAAACTTAAGGGAATCAGAATTATAGCCATTTGGGTTATTTATTAATGAACTACCTAAGTCTTCAAAACAGATTTAGTAAATACAGTTCTATTAATTCACTGTCCATGAGTTAAATGTGTGCATGAACACAGAGAGCTGGGATACATTAGAGTACGTACCACAAAGAAATCCGGGATCACTACTCTGGATTTACTGCTAAGCTCCCCAGTAGTAGGAATTACTACTTCATACCACGTGTTCTGCAAATGTCTGTCATTGTACAACCAATTTAAAGGGTCTAGTTCTTAGATGGAAAAAAGCTCATTTGCTTCAACATCATCCATATCTATCAGTTCAGAACAGGGAGACTATGGGGTAGGGAGGGCAGTAAGTACACATTGCTCCCAATGCCTTAGAATTAGCATGAAGTGCACCCTCTCGAACAAGGATAGAATAATGAATTCAGTCTTATAGAATAAAGTGAAGCTCAGCCATAAGTGCAGTTTTGATGTTCGACAGTGTAAAACAACAGAGAAATTCAGTTGTCCCATATACTGCAAAACACGTGGTATAGCCATGGTATAGCCAGGTCACTTTATCACCTCACCTGAGGCAGAACTGCAGAAAAGATGCTCTTTCAGTTGCTTCCTTCTCTCTTGAGCCCACAACTAATGCACCTTCACATCCCTAGGGATGTGAAGTGATGGGCTGACACAAAACCCTGAGTGAGGAAAAAGCATACTATGAAGGCTGCTCAGAAAATAATGCCCCTTATTTTATGATGTTGGAGGCAGATGTTGGTGATATTGGCAGCAGTGGTTGAACCTTCCCACCAGTATATTACATTTTGTTGCCATGCAGCAGAGGGGCAATCTGACAAAGTGCTTCATATGCACTTCTATGTCAGACACCAGACATTAGAGTTCTTCCATGTGGAAGAAATGGCACCCACTGACAGTCACTGATACTTTCTGAACATCAGTGGAGACCAAACAGTGGGTATGAGCACAGTGAAATGATGCATTTCAGCAGCAGCAATGACAATCTGCACCAATCTGACCAATCCACTGGTATCTGCACCATTTTATGAGAATGGCATGCTGTTCTTGTTCATGGTTGGTGAAAATACATAACTAACGGTTGTGACTAGGCTGAAAAATAGTATTTTGTAGCTGAGAACTTGCTCTATGAAATAGTATTACTGTGCCCTTTGTAGCTGTTGTAGATTCATAGAAATAAATAAGAGGCATTACTTTCAGAGCAATCTACAATTTTGTTCTGATGCTATGATGAGAGGAAATGACATCAGCTTCCAGACAGCATACCTAGTGGTTACCATGCTGAAATACTTCCAGTGATAGCCAGGCACCCTTTCTTCTTTCTAGAAGGGACATTCACTCACATTGCCCCAGCTTACCAAATATAACTTCATAGTGAAAGCAAAGCTGTTTGATTCACTACCTCTTGTCTTCAACAAACCAAACAATTTGTACTAGTACCACAAGTAGCATAATGACTGTTGGAAGTCAGTGGTATTACTGAAGTACAGCTCTGAAGGCAGAAGTCAGCATGCCTTTATAAAGCTGACAGTTTACCTCAAATCTCCCATAAATGCCACTCAAATAAAAGCATTACTGAAAAAGCAGAACTGCATCTTATTTGCCATTCAGCTTTGCCACCAAGTGGCCAACTCATTCCACACATTTTAACACCCACTTTAAAAAAAAACAACTGACTGCAGTTGATTAGTATACCGATCTTCCTCTAGCTTGCACTAGAATAATTTTTGAACAGCTGCTCTCATAGTGAAGAAAAAAGCCAGCAATAGGCACAGGGAATAATCAAGCCACTCCATCTTAATCTGTACCATAGAGAGTAGAATCATTTGGGATACAGATATGTTTGCCTTCCTCTTGCTCCATCTGAAAGCAATACACATTTGAGCTGCATGCAAAAGGTGTTTAAATAAATAGGTGTTATGTTAAAACAGATTTTTCTGACACCTCACCTAAATAGTACAAGATATAATAGAATATGTATTTAAGTAAATAGTCGCCTCAGACAAAAAGTCCAGGCAGAAGCTAGATATGAAAGTGTGTGAAATTCAGTATTCGTCTCATGCACGAGGTCAGAACAGTCCCTTATGATTCTAATAGCGACATATCTTGAAAACTGGCACAATGCATTGTCCCAGAATCATCTAATTACCCAATGAGGACTTTTTGAAAACTCTAAGAAAGAAACTGAATCACAGGAGAGAGAGAGATATATTCCAGACCCCAAGAGAAAGGATGCATAGAGCAAATCTTGCAGAGATAAAACAGGTCTGAGAAGGGAAGAATAACATAAGGAAGGCAAAACTTTGAAGAGCTTGTTCCATTTCACTGACTCTCAGTAGTGACTGCTTGAAATGGTCCTTTCTGAATTGCCAGAAATGGTATTGCGGTTCGTATAAACTGTGAGAGTGACTCAGAAGCCACATTTTAACTTAAATGCATTTTGACCTATTGCTGTACTGTGTAAGTATTCAATACAAGTACTTGAAAACTTTCTCTTAGATCTACACAAGACTTCCTTGTTGTCCAAAGACAAGTTTTTATGGCAAACTGTATTATTCATACCATGCAGCGTAATTCAGAAAGATGGAAAGCATACACTTATGCCATTTTCTCCAGCATCATGAAATCGTTATCACCACTGCACTGCAGTTGCCAAATGTCAGACAAATCAGTGATTTGGGAGGAGACCAAATTATTCCTTCAACCTCTCCTTGACATTACAGTAAGTCAGCATGCTCAAGGAAAACTTTCTGACCAGCCGTGTGGTTGCCAGGAACACACAAGAAAAAAGGCCACAAGGCTTCATGGCTGTTCATGAATTACTGAGGTAGGAGACAAGCTGCATTTTAGTAACAGATCAAATCTGGGAATCATTTTATCTCACTAAGTTTCCATTTCAGTAACAACTGATTGCATGGGATTTCTCTTCCCTATAAGGCATCTTGTTCATGGGTCAACATAACTCAAAGTAAAAATTCATATTTTTACATCATAGTTGTTTTAGAGTGATGGGGTGTTTTTATTTTTAAACAATGTCCTTTAGGTAGGCCTGCTTACCTAGAATACTTTGTTAGCTAGGTCTCCTGCTTGTGGAGGCTTTAAGAAAACTAGAGAATACAAAGGAGGGCAGGAAAAAGCAGAGTGAACTCAATTTTTAGAGTGAATAGAGGTGACTGGCTCATAGTCTATTATTATCATCAAGACTGTAAGATAAATGAAAAGAGGGAATTGCTTAGTCTCAGATGGAAGAAGGAGCAATAGCTTAAGGCTAAGGAAGGAAAAGTTTGAACTAGATAAGAGAGGGGGAAGGAATGCTTTATACAGAGCAAGTGAACAATGTTTTGAGAAACCAATGCAAGAGTTTGAGGTACTGCACTCACACTGCAGAGGTGTGAGATGTTAATTAGAGATGTAGTGTTAGGTTTAGGTTAGAAAAATATCACCTAAAGTTTTAGGGTTAGGCTAAGTGCCGCAGGCCAGAATGCCTTAGCCTGTTTTTTTGTGACTGTGATAGTATGCAAAAAAGTCAGAGGCCTTGACCAGCTTTCAAAACATAAGTCTGTACTTCTGTAGCCAGTTCACTGAGGTAACCAGAGAGTGAAGGAAATATGCAGGAAGCAA